GTGCGGCCAGCCGGCCAATCGGTACGTGGCTACAGCAGCTCCGTCCCCCGGCTGGCAGCTGCCGGCACCGGCCGGCCCCGGTCTGCGCGGCCCGGGCTCCCGGGGGTCTTTTCCTCGGCCTGGCTGACCCGCTTCCCCTCCTGTTGGCTCGCCAGCTGCTTTGTCCCCGAGGAGACGGAGCCGTCGCCGTGGGAGCCCGCCCCTGCGGGAGCCCCCCGCCGGGTGTGCCCCTCCCCGTTTCCCACTGGCGTGGTCGACAGCTAGAGCCAGACTTGGGCAGCTCAGGCTGGGCGGGGGGCAGCACCAGTTGGGAGCCGGGCGCTGGGCCCGCGGGGCGGTGGCCTCTCGCTGCCCCAGTCCGGGTTGAATCCTGCCCGTGTCTCCGTTTCCCGGCGCCCACCCGGCGCCTCCGGGCGGCTCTCCGGGGTGGGCGGCGGGTGCCCACGGGCTTGGGCTTCGTCACTGCCGGAGGGCGCAGGCGCGGCCGGACCACCGGCCTGCAGCGTTTCCCGGGATTATCACATGTTCGCTGGTAGCAATCCTGGGGCCGGACACCAGACCCCAGCTGAAGGAAGATGCAGGGGCAGCGGCAGGCCCGCGAGGGGCGCTTCCCCCCCAGGGAGCCCCGCCTCCCTCTGCAGCTGGGTCCTGTGCCCGCAGCCCAGGCCCCACTGGTCAGGCCCCAGCGGGCTCCTGGCAGGTGCAGCGATGCGGTCTCACAGGACTGGTTGGGGCCAGAGGGGAGGCGGGGCCAGGTCCCAGGGGCGGGGCCAGGTCTCGAGGGGCGGGGCCAAGTCCCAGGGGCGGGGCCAGGCCTCGAGGGGCGGGGCCAGGTCTCGAGGGGCGGGGCCAGGTCCCGGGGGCGGGGTCCCCGCTGGGCGCTCCTCCTGAGCAAACGGCTGATCTGGAAGCAGCGGGGACACCAGCCTTGGCCTTGCGGCTCCAGGGTTCCCAGGGCGGCGCCCGTGGGAGGAGCTGCCGTGCCGCGGGGATCCCCGGCGCGCCCCCCCACAGCCACCCTCTCAGGAGCCGTGTCTCAGGCCACCTCACGATGGCCACCTGGATGTCCTGGGATTCGTTTCCTCGGTGCTAATAGCTGTTCTCTGGTTTGCGCTCCAGTCTGTTTTTGCATTTGTATAAAAACGGGTTCTGAAAGCTGCTCTCCGTGCAGGGCAAGATCCGTGCCCACCCCCCGCAAGGCTGCCCCCTAAAGTCACGGCGCTGACCCCCACGTCCGGGCCAGCACCCCTCCGCGCCTGTCCGTGTGAGGACACGGACAGGCTGCTGTCCGCAGAGCTGCCCTTCTCTGCCTGCTGGTTCCGGCCTGGGCTGAGCTGAGCCTTTGAAAACACATTTTGGAGGTGGCATCTGCCGCAGCGGGCGGTGCCCCGACCCCCTGTAAAACTGGAGCCTCCGGCCGCCCTGGCCTCAGGCTGGACGCCAGCGGGCCGGCTCTCAGCAGAAGACAGACAAAGCTCTCAAGAGCCTCCCTCAGTGCTCAGGCCCGAGGCCAGTGCCTGGAGCCGGCCCCGCGCAGCCCCCAGCTCTGCCGCGCCCCCAGGGGTGGTGGCCAGGCAGTGGGGCCCCCGCTTTCCAGCACACCCGACCCTCCCTGCTGGGTGACCTGAGGCATGGTGCCAACACCGCGCCCTCTCTCGTGACGCCCCGGGCTCGTCCCCTGCACAGGCTGACCCCGAGGCCCTTACGGATGCCACCGCCACCTGTCCCATCAAGCGGACTGACCGAGCGGCCCCTTCTGTGGCGCTCAGCAGCGTTTTGTGATTTCTGTTCTTAATCAAATCTTGCATCGAGCGAGACCCCTGGGTGTGGCGCTCGGCAGGCGCCGGTGGGGGAGGAGGGTGCGGCCGGGCCCTGCCCTCTCCCGCCCTCCACACACCAGCCCCTCACCCCTGCAGAGGGAAGGCGGCAGCCGCCCGACGACTCCCGGGTCCGGCCCGGCTGAGGGCTGAGGGCTGAGCGCGGGGGCCGGGGCCGGGGCCAGGCCCGCCAGGCACCCCACCGTCCCGCCGCGCCCCGCGGCTGCAGAGTCGAAGCGTGCCAGGTGGACAGCTGCGTCCCCTCCCCTCCCTGCAGAGAAAAGACGGCTGGAGGGCCGAGCTGCCGCTTCTCAGGCTCCCGTCCGCCGGCTCCCGGGCCCACCGTCCACTCCCTCCAGGAAGGACAAAAATAACCAAGGAACGTGCCCGAAGCAGGTCCCGGAAGGTGCCGGCGGCTGCCAGGGTGAGTCCCGGCCCTGCGGCCTGGCGGTCGGCACTCAGGCCCAGGGTGGGGGCCGCTGCCCCCGGGGCTGGGCCCCAGGCGGCGGAAAGGTGGCTGCTGTGTCCGGCCCTCGGGCCTGCACCCACCCAGGCTCCGGGGAGTCCCGGCCCGGGCAGGAGGGTGCGCCTCAGCGCGTCCATCTCTGACGCCCCACGCGCCCTGCCTGTGGGGGCAGGTCCCCCATGCCGGGCGGCTGGAAGCTGCAGGCCAGGAGCGGTGCTTACAGCGGCCGTCAGCTTCCCCGGGCTGGTCCCAGGGCCACCGTCCTCCCTGGACGGCAGACAACTGCCCCGGGCCTCTCCCCGGAGGCCGTTGGCCGAGAAGCTGCTGACCAGCCACGGCGCCGAGGCTTTCTGCCGGGCTCCAGGCCGACACGACCACAAAGCCCTCTGCACTTCCCCCAAGCCGGAGCCTCCTGACAACACTCAGGTGCGCTCAGCGTACTGACCGGCTGACCGGCTGACCGGCTGACCAAGGAGCTTCGTTGCGAGGAAGAACGAGGCTCAGCCTGGCGGCCTGAGTGCGGCCTCCACAGAGGACGTGCCTGGTGGCCTCCCGGGTAGCTGGGGCCAGGGGGAGCTGACCAGGCTCCTGGGGGCCAGGAAACGGCCACTGCAGACTCGTTTCTACGATGAAGCGAAATTTGAGTCCCAGACTGGCAAAGAAACTTTCATGGCAAAGATCTAAGTTAGGAGGCCCCTGAGCCCGCCCTGGCCCACAGAGCGGCCGGCCCCACCCACCCTGCTGACCGCTGGCCAGCAGCCCACCTGGGGCTGGGCTTCTGCACAGGGGTCAGCCTGGGGACGGCGCCGCACCCCAACCCCAGGGCGAGGGGCTCGCTGGCGGGGAGGTGGAGGTGGGGGGCCAGTGGGCCTGTACGAGTTGTGCTGCCCTGAGGCCTCGCCGTGGACAGCGTGGCCTGCTTCAGTGCGGGACTTCGCCGTGGCTTCGTCCAGCAGGAGTAGTGGGCGGGTGAGACACGCGCGCGCTCAGCCACAGGACGCCACTGTCATCCAAGACCTCGCTTATTTCGGGGTCGGTCGCCTCTGGGTGCCCCCAGTCCCAGGAGATGGGCTTGAGGGTCACGCCAGCCCACCGGCCTCCACGTGGGCCCCGGAGCCCGCCCACCCCACCATGCTGATGGGGTTTGTGGCTCCCGGCAGCCCGCAGGCCTGGCCGGGCGGCAGGGCGGGGCGGGACGCAGTCAGGGCCCCCGTGCAGGGGCGCCCCACCCACCCTGGATTCTGCGGGACAGGGGCCAGGAGAGGGCAGCCGCTGGGCCCCTCCTGAAGGTGCAGCTTGCCGACAGCGCCCCGACACCCCATGTCTATTTAGTCCCTCAGCAGTCAGCGTCCTCGTCCTGCTGTAACGTGGCAGGGGCTGCCCCAAAGGCTGGACCGTCCAGCCGAAGCGCTGGCCGCAGAGGCTGCCTGCGGCTCTGTGGCCGGCCCGGCGCCTGCGGGAGCGGCCTGGGGGGGCCGGCCGGGCTGCCCAGGGGCTCGGAGCCCCAAGCTTAGAGCTGAGGCGAGGGCTGAGTTCCTGGATCCCTTCAGAGTCCTGACTGGGCGCCCAGGGGCTTTCCTTTGGGAACAACGACAGCCTCTGGTTTGTAAAGTGATTTTTGTAGTTTTAAAGTGGGGGGGGCGGTCTAGATTTTGCGGAAACACTTCATGGACAGCTCGAGCGTGCCTCCCGCTGGGTGTTTCTCAGACCCGTTTCGGGGCTGAAGCCGCCGCTGCGCCCGGGCACAGGAGCTCGGACAGACCCGGGGAACCCGGCAGGCCGAAGCCGGGACTCGCCCCCCCACCCCGGCCGCGTCGGGGGAGCGGCGG